CAGTTTAACCCATGTTTCTAAAGTCTCTTGGCAAACTTTAGCTGGAATATTTTAAGACTATGGTTATCTTTTACAACTTTACCCAGTGACAGGGGTCTCCAAGAGGCATGGAGATGGTAAGACACTCCGAGAGCAGCAGCTGCCTGGTGAGGTATTTTAGATGCAAATGAAGAATTTTTGTCACTTTGGAGTGACTATGGGAGTCCAAAGTGTGGCACACTGTCCTTAAGCAAGGCTTTGGATACTTCTAGTGCATTTTCCATTTGAGTTAGAAAAGCCTCTATACATGCTGCTGCGAAAGTATCAATAAAAACTAGAAATATTTGCAGTTGTTTGCTGGGGGCACGTTACTAAAATGAATCTGCCAGTCTTCTCCTGGGTATGTTCCTCTCCTTTGTAAAGGAGTCAGCAAAAGAGGTAGACTTTCATGATCACCAGAGTTATTTTCTAAACAAAAGAGACGAGAATGAATTACTTCCCTGATGGCAGCATGTAGTTCTTTTCCTTCAAATGCTATTTGCATTAAAGCTCCTCTTCCCAAGTGAGTAGAGTCATGCATTTCCTTAATGATTTTCCATGGAGAGGCCATTGGTAGCACAGCCTTATGATCGGAAATCCACCATCCACTAGCATCTTTAGTACAACCTTGTTGTCTTGATCTCAGACTCAGTGTGGAGAGGCTCTTTAGTCACTGCTACTGGATGAGGTATTAGAGCCGTTTCCAGAGTTCCTGTGCCGCAGGCATATTTGCTGCCTTTTCTGCTAGTGCACTTCCCTTGCTAACAGGGTTATCTTCTTTCTGTTGTCTCTCACAGTGAATGACAGCCACTTCTGAAAGCTCTAGTATTGTCTGAAGTACAGCTAATATCTCCTTTCCATATTAAATGGGGGAATTCTTTGCAGTCAACAAACCTCTTTCTCTCCAGATTGCTGCATGTGCATGTAACACAGGAAAGCATATTTGGAATCTGTATATAAATTGACTGGCTGCCCTTTTCCTAATTGCAAAGCACCAGCTAATGAATCAAGTTCAGTCCTTTGAGCTGAAGCATTACTAGGCAATGCCCAAGTTCTATTACTTGGGTAGGATCTACTGTGGCCTAACCTGCCTTTCTAACTCCTTCCTTTATGTAACTACTGCCATCAGTAACCATTCAACATTTGGATTTTCCAAAGGCTCATTTTGTAGGTCGGGTCTGCTAGGATACACTTGTTCTATAGTTGCTACACAAGAATGTATTAACTCTTCAGTACCCTCAAGTGGCAACAGGGTCGCTGGTTTGAGGACTTGGCACACCTGAAGAATTATCTCAGGTGAGTCTAACAATAGTGCTTGATATTTTGTGATACATCCTCCTGTTAGCTATTCATGTCCTTTAATATCTAAGACCCTGTACACCTGTGGAGTTTGAACTTCAATTGGCTGCTCCAAAGTCAGCTTGGTGGCTTCCTCTACCAAGAGTGCTGTAGCAGCAACAGCTCTTAAACATGCAGGCCACCCTGTAGTCAAAGAATCTAACTGTTTAGAAAATAGGTCACTGGTTGTGGGAGTGGAACCAATTTCTGAGTAGTACTCCTAGAGCAACCCCCTTCTTTTCTGCTAGGAACAAGTTGATTGGTTTACTCAGTTAGGAATCCCTAAAGCTGGAGTTTCTATTAAAACCTCTTTCAATTCTTTGGAATGTCTTTTGTAGTTCCCCTGTTCAGCAAAGCAGGTCTGTGTCAGGGCCTTTGAAAGCTTCATACAAAAGCTTGGCTATTAATCCAAATCCTGGAATCCATCTTGTACAGAATCCTGCCTTTCCCAGAAATGCTCTTAGCTGCTTTTTCATCTGTGGTGGCCATATGTATAAAGAATAACTTCCTTTCTTTTGACTGAAAGAGTGCACTTTCCTGGAGTGAGAATATTTCCCAGGTTATCTACCTCTGGTTTAGATACCTGAGATTTGTTGGAGAAACTGTATCCTCATTTTGTTAAGAAGCTTAATACCTAGAAAATATTTGCATCAGAGACCTCCTTAGAGGGGCTGTGAATGAAAATATCATCTACATACTGTAATAGTGTTCCATTCTTTAAATGTAGTTGCCTGAGTTCCTTTTCAAGTACATTACCAAACTGATGCGGGTTGTCCCAAAACCACTGGGGTAAAACTGTCCATGTATATTGCCGAGTTATTCTTGAGAATGGATCAGTCCATTCAGGGGCAAATAAAAACTGGGATTCTGGACTTAATGGGATACAGAAGAAAGCATCCTTTAGGTCCAGAACTGTATACCATGAAGTTCCCTAGGGTATATGTGTCAATGTAGTGTAAGGATTTGGCACAATAGGATGAATTGGAACAACTGCCTGATTAATAGCCCTTAGATCTGGCACCATTTGGTTGCTTCTGTTTTGTTTTAAAACATGCGAAATAGGAATATTACAGGGAGACTGACATGGAACCAAGAATTCATGTATGGGAAATTTAATTAATTTTAAGGAAATGCCTAAGGATAATAACAAATCTCTTTTAAGCAATGGAGCAAGATTTACTTAAAGCAAGTATACCTCAGGAATGAGTAAGAAGAAGTTCAGGTGAGAATGACCTGTAATCAATAGGGTTCACAAACTCTGCAGAGAATGAGATGAAATCAATAAGGTTTGAGGCCATGCTTTTCTATAGTTTGGAGCTGGTTTCTGAGTATAATACTAGAAGGGGGTGGAGTCTGGTTGGGCTTGAGTATAGCTTGATTCTATGACATGCTTTAGAAATCTAGGAATTGTCTTAGAATCAGGTATATGATGGGAGTGAGAGCACTGGTACTTTTTTTATAATTACTTAATAATGATCTAATGGTCATTTCAGGGACTCAGTGTGCAGCTACATTGGATTTCTACCTGGCTCTGGTTTTAACTTCCAAAACAGTAGAACTTATAGTTTTCTGCTTTATAGAAGAGAGATTTGATATTGCAAAAAAAGGGGGTTTGGAAGGTGCACAAAGGAGAGATGGTTGGAGCAGTGCATGCCCAGTTGTCACATGGTTGGCCAGAGCTACTGCATAGGCCAGCCAAGACTACGGTGTGAAATGGCCTGAGTGTTGATTAGGTTGGCTGCATCTGCTGAAACTCAGCCAGGCCTGGGTTGGCCGGGCTACAACAGGTAGGGCAGCAGGGTGGTGGTGTCAAACCACTGCTCCTCTTGCTAGTGTGAACTCCCTGCCTATGTCAAGTCTAAATAATTGCATTTGAAAGGAAGAGCTACAGATGGCCAACATGTATCTGAAACATGTTCAACATCACCAATCATCAGAGCAGTACAAATCAAAAGCACTATGAGATATCATCTCACTCCAGTAAATCACATATTTTCTAAGAGACAAAAATAATAAGTGCTGTTGAGTGTGTGGGGAAAAAGGGCACCCTTGCATACTGCTGGTGTGAATTTAAATTAGCATAGCTATTGTGGAAAACAACATAGGGCCTCATCAAAATGTTAACTAGAGATACCATAGGTTCCTGAAATTTCACTGTTGTGTATGAATCCAAAAGTAATGGAATCAGGCTGTTGAAGAGATGTACACATGCCAATGTTTATTGCCATACAATTCATAAATAGCCAAGAAATGTAAATAATTCAAGTGTTTATCCACTGATGAAAAGAAAAATGATACATGTGCACAATGAAATTGGTTAAATGAAATAAGCTAAGCAATGAAAGAAAGTATTTCATGATCAAATTCATATGCGGAGTCTAAAAAATGTAATCACATAGAAGTTAAATGTATAGCTACCAAATGTTGGGGAGGGGATGGATGGGGAAGGGTTGATTGACAGGTACTAAGTTACAATTATAGGAAAAGAAGTTATGGGGTTCTATATCATTGTAGAATAATTATAAATAATGTTAACATTATTTATTTCTCTATTATAAAACACACAACTACAAGATAGGAAATTGTCTATGGAAAATGTTTGAGGAGATACACTGATCATTTGGACATTACACAAGGTATACATGAATCAAAACATCATATAGTACTAATAAATATATAAATTTTTTAAAAAATAGTTATTTACTTATTTTTTTCGCACACATACAGACGTTTTATTAAATTCATCTAAAAAGAGACAATAATCACATCAATCTTTTAAACAGATATCTTGGGTCACTTGAGAGGCCAAACAGATCCAAGGAAGGAAGATGACAATTAAATACTTAAATTAATCAAAAGGCACTACAATATCACCTAAAACCCACGACCACAGTGGTAGTAGGCTAAGGAAGATCAAACTATGGCAAAATCATCTAATCTGAATGTGAGCAGTTACAAAGAAGGAATTTAAGTTTTCTTTCCAGAAGACATGATAAAATGATCACTTGGGCCCAAGAGTATATTTGGCCAGGAGAAAGGAAAATATGGCTGACGGTAAAGCCAAAACCAAAAGGAACAGATACATAGAACTGAAGATACACAGTCAAGCGAGATGGTGATGGGTCAGGCTTCTTCCTCCCAAGAAGCATTTGCAGAACTGGACTATCCCGCCCTGCTTTGGATCCTACCTAACAGCTGCTTGAGTTGAGCTGCCCGCTCTGTCCTTACAGGCTGCTCAGCTCCCAGGCTGGGTTTAGGGTTGCCCAGGGCTCTTATAGACCTTGAAGAGCCTGTACAGGGGTTGGCTTTGTTGCTAACTGTTCTGGACATAAAGCAAGCCTGAAACATTCACATGCAAAGTAGTCTGAGCACCCGCCATCACATCCAAAGGTCCCTGCATAACGCCCTCAAAAGTCTGAACCCTTGCAGCAGCTGAGCTGTACTTAAGGCTGCAAAAGCTCACAACAAATTCATCAGGGGAGCCAGAGTGAGAGGAGGCAGGTGGGAAGTCCTGGCAGGTCATCCCAATCTGTCTTCCCCCGTTTTAGGACAAGCTCTAATATACCCGATATGGGATGTAGACAACTACGCTGGGAGCAAGCTGAGTCTTCGCTGATGGTGTCTTCAAATACCAAGGGCAAAACAAGGGGTGGGGGTTTTTATTTTGAAAAAGCCTCAGAAGTTACACTATTATAAAGGAACATGGCTGAACAGATAGGAAACAGATTCTCCATTGTGTGTTCTCCTGATGGCTTCAGCAAGGATCATGGAGATGTCGATCACCTGTATTTTGGAGCAGTGCTTCATCTTGTCCTCTTGAGGTATGGTATTGGTGACTGCTACTGCTTCAAAGCATGCATTGTTTATGCGAGAAATGGCTGGACCAGAAAAGATTCCGTGAGTTAAGATAGCATAAACTCTGGTGGTTCCAGCTGAGAGAAGTTTGTCAGCCGCATGGCAGATTGTGCCGCAAGTGTCAGCCATGTCATCTACAAGGATGGCCACTCGATCCTTCACATCTCCCACCAGCACCATGCGGTCCACTTCGTTGGCCTTCTTCCGCTCTTTGTGAATCAAAGCAAAGTCCACATTCAACCGCAATGGAGGTCACTCTCTTAGCTCCACCGGCGTCAGGTGAGACAATTGTGCAGTTCCTCCATTCTGAGATGTTCTACTTGATCCACTTCAGGACAGCTGGATCGGCATACAAATTATCGACTGGGATATCGAAAAAGCCCTGAATTTGAGATGCATGTAGGTCCATGGTGATGATGTGATCGGCGCCTGCCACGGTTATTTACTTATTTAACAGGCAGAGTTACAGTGGGAGAGAGAGAGAGACTGAGAGACAGAGATCTTCTATCTGCTGATTCACTCCCCGAATCACAACAGCTAGCTCTGGGCCAGGTGAAGTCAGGATGCAGGAACTTCGTCTGGATCTGCCACCTGAGCAACAGGGGCCCAAGTACTTGGGCCATTTTTTGCTTCTTTCCCAATTTCATCAGTAAGATAGGAAATGGAGCAGCCAGAACTCAAACAATTGCTCTTATGGGATGCTGGCATTGCAGGTGGTGGATCAACCCACTGTGCCACAATGCTAATCCCTAAAATTTTGCTAGACTATTAGTTTAGAATTAAGTAATAATTGGTTCTGAGAAGTTGACACTGCACAATTTTTAAAACGCAATTTTTTAGAAAAGTACACATAAATTTGACATATTGTGAAGTTATATTACACATTTGAACTACATATTTTCATTTTCCCCTAAGAATATTATGATACAAAAAAGAGATATAACACCTTTTTCATTTTTCAGTGTACAGTTCAGTATTGGTAAGCATAGTCACATTGTGTGCAACCCATCTCCAGAGCTTTTTATTTTTATGGAATTGAAACTACATAATCAATAAACAATAACTCCCAATTTACCCTGCTATGGCACCCTGACAACCACAATTCTAATTTTTGTTTCTATGAGTTTGACTATCCAGGGTTGTTCATGTTACTGTCAGTGGAGTCATACAGTATTAGTGTTTTGTGATTTATTTATTTCATTATCAAAATGTTCTCAAGGTTCATCCAGGTTGTCTCATGGGTTAGAATTTGTTTCCTTTTCAAAGCTGAAAGCATACCACATTCCTCTTATCCACCCATCCAATGATGGATTCTTGTTTGCTTGCAGCTCTTGGCAGTTGTGAGCAATGCTGCCATGCAAAGGGGTAAACATCTCTCCCTGAGAACCTACTCTAATTTTATTGAATGTATGACAACAGACAGAACTGATAACCCATTTTTTCAGTTTTAAATTGTGAGATTTGGTCATTGTAACTAGTAAAGATGTGATAATTTCACTTCAGCACTGTAATATATTATTGATAAAAATGCCACATTATTAAATTCACAAATAAGTCTTCATTAATTTAATTATAATTTTAGGAATATAAGAGAAATACATATTTTTATTCATTTTAAATTTCATTAACAATTATTTGTTTAAGTACTATAATGTCAAATATTTCTTTGTGCTTCACACGGTACTTGAATGTAAACTGACTACACCATAACACACCTGTACTACAGTGGGCTGGTGGTAAGGAAATGTAATAGTATATAACAGAAAGAGAATTATGCACCTATTCAGAGCATGTCTTCCTCTGGAGTTTCTAATATAAAATCAATTGAAATATAGAAAAACAGTAGTATGTTCAGTTATTAAAAGGCTACGGGAAGGACAATGTCGGAGGAAACATATCACACAACCAAAACTCACATTAGAATGAGAGGTCATTGTCAGTTTCACAAACTGCTTGGAAGGTAATCTGGGGAAATGTTTCTGGAGAAAACAAGTAAAGAAGATTCTTCTTAATGAAATTTTAACATTTGCAGGCTCAAAACAACGCTTTCTGAATTTTATAATTAGGAATTTATTACATGTAATTAAAAAAGAGAAGAACAAAGCTTTGAAGAGGAAACATAACTACAAAGTGAATTAGAACAGCAGTGTTGTAATGTAGATTATGCAGGAATATTTGTTCAATTCTCATTTATCTCCCTGGTTAATACAGTATACTTCATGATTTATTTCTTTTCTTGTGAGAATAAGATTTGCAGATGGTGATCTTTGACTATTATAAAACAGTAAGATCTGGTGTGGTGGCCCTTTTTCCAAATGTCATCACAGAGTTATTACATCAGTGTACATGCAATGTTTCTGGAATTGTTTTGGGAAATATGAGACTATCTGTGCATAGAAATTGTTCTCACTGTTTGAGGTATCCATTAGAGGTAGCCTGTTTATTATAACTATTTCAAAGACAGCAACATAGTCACGCATAAATATTAACAAAGACATCATATCTACCCCAACAGAGGTAAGAGGTGAAAGAAAATACTTCATTTCTTCAAAACAATTACTTGTATTACTTGTACCTATGAAGCTCAGCTTCATTATAGTTTAAAGTCCTTTGTTTCAATGCATCAATCCAAAGAGCTTGCTTTCTGAACTACTGTTTTGAAAGGGAAGATCCTGCTAAAATGCTCTGGAAAAACTGTGTTCAAGCTGTATATCACAAAGACTATCTTCTTTAAAGCATAATGGAAACTAATAAGGGAAAAGTGAACAGCGAGCTCTGATTTCTGATTATTGGTGGACTGAAACTTCTTTATATTGAAAAAGCATAGTTGATTTAGGAAAGAGAAAAAAGATCTTTTCTAATTTTGGAATTACTTTGATCGATCCTAACACAATACCATTTAGAATATGGAAAGTTACGGTTATGCAAATTTTCTTCATTTATGTATTTTTATTAAGCTATGTGAATTATGAATTTCAATTCAAGTTGTGATATAACTTTTTACTAAATTATATTTCATAAAAAATTAAACATTATACCTTTTAGGCAGAATTTCCTGGAGTTCCTTGAAAAACTAATTAATAATTATATTATTAATATAAATGATGTCTTATAAATTATAAATATATTAATATAATTAACATAATAGAATAATAACATAATAGAATAATTCTATTATTAATGATTAATTCTATTATTAATGATTAATTATATTATTATTTATAATAATATGAATTAATGGCAATTTCCCATAAAGAGTACCCTAATAAACAGTATCTTTTGGGGCCAGCATTGTGATATAGAGAGTAAAGCTACCTCTGGCATCCCATGTGGGTGCTGGGTAAGGTTCTGGATGGTCCACTGCCTTGGGTAGAGCTGTTGCCTGAGACTCTCAAATCTCATATAGGTGCTAGTTCATGTCTGGATTGCTCCACTTCCCATTATGTTCCCTGTTGACGGCCTACGACCAACAGCAGAATATAGTCCACGTGTTTGGGCATCTGCCTCCAGTATGGGACACCCGAATGATACCCTGGGCTCCTGACTTTGACCTGGTTCAGCCTTGGCTATTGTGTGATTGTGGCCACGTGGAAGTAAACTGCCGGATGGACCTTTCTCTATCTCTACATCTCTCTCTGTAACTCTGACTTTTAAATAAATCAATCAATCTTTTAAAACATAAAAAATAAAAAGCTATTTTTTTGCTATGCTACTCAGGAATGCACATCCTTTCTAGCATAGACATCCTAATGACAAAATGAACCTTTCTCAGCCATGTCCTGAAAGAATCGCAGCTTATTGGAAGGAGAAACACCTATATATTCTTGTAACACTTATTTTGAAAGTAACAATACAGTATTTCTCTAAGAGTATTGTAGCATTGTTGATATTTCATGTTTCTTCTTTAGAAATAATCAATAATCCACTTATAAAAAGTTATCTTGAATATACTATGGAGAAATTTTAAAAGTATAACATTTGTATTTTGTGAAGTAGTAGTAAACAAACCATATTTCAACTCATTCTATTTATTTCTAAATTTATTTATTTATTGTCCTTAATTTAAATATACTCTTAATAAGTTTACTTGGCTCTATTTTTTTCTTGTCCACAATTATTATCAAGTCCCAAAATCTTGATTATTCTACTTCTCACTCTACCTTTTATTTACCCTGATTTGCATCTAAACTGGTTACACATTCTCCCAAAAAGCAGATTCTGTCTGTGCTTTTTGTTAGCTTATGGTGATTTTTCACACCTTTTTTATATGCATTTCCGTTCAGTTAGAGAAAGTTCACTGAGCATATGGTAAATTTAAAGCAAAAGCTTAGAAAATAGGAGGAAAGGAAAGAAAAGTCAAAGGATCTACCTTCATGAAAATTTCATGTAATAATTGAAATGAGTATACAAATATCTGCATAAACAAGATAAAGCACCATAGTGAAATCAAACTCTGATAAGCGTTTTGCAAGATTTCAAAAAGGAAGAAGTTTTAAAAATTAGATATTATATGTAGTAGTATAATATTTTATTTAAAAATTGATGTTTTCATTGAATTTCCAGATAATGAGGTCGATCGTAGAAACAGGCATACTTGAACAAAACAACATTTAGATATTTTTAGGAAAAGAGTGCAGATCAGTGTCTCCTCACATGGGGCACCAAATGTAAGGAAAATGGAGGTGCAGAACAGAGAGGAGACGGGGTACAGACTCGCAGTCAAACTGAATTTATTCGGAGAAATTAAACTCAGAGATCTACCAACTGCCATCATGCTCATAGACCAAACATGTGGCCAAGGCCTAGATCCCAGCTGGTTGGGCCCTTTCTTATCTTAGGTAGGCTAGGGGTGTGGGTGGGAGGGCAGTAGGCAGAGATAAATTATTCCATACTGGTGTTTCAAGTCTGGCCCACTGATGTCCAAATCTGGGGAAGAATGAAGGGTTGGGTTGTGGGGGGCGGTAGGCAGAGGTGGAGACAATAGAGCCAGAGACTGAACTGAGATTCAAGGGCAAGGGATAAATTCCAATACTATCTCTCTCTGGGCAATGAGCTAGAATTGAAGTAGGCAGGCCTACAGGCTAAAATTGATTAGGTTTGTGAGCTGGAAGACCACGCCTTTACCACGCTCCTGTGTGACCTCACACCCTACCTGAGCGCCCACCTGCCCACAAGCCACTCCCTTGTGGAAAATATATAAAACATCAAGGAGTGTCCCCAAACGCTCTCTGCCTCTGCTTGGCTGCCGGTGATAAGCGGTGGATAGCAGCACAATGCACTTGCTGCACGTGGCTTTTGGCTTGCTCTCTGCTTGGTATGGACGCTACCCTGGTTCCCAGACTTTCCTCTCTTCACTTTCTAGATACCTTTGCACTAAATAAAACCCTAAAATGTACCATGCTGCCCGTTTATCTGTGCCGGTATTCAGAATTCTT